AATAATTAATAGCCACTCCAATCGATGTTTATTTGTTTTAAAACGCATGCGCACCAATTTTAAATGTTTAATTCTAAAAATTTAAATTTAAAATCTTTTTTGTATGTTCAAAAACGGCTAGTATCGTTAATGTTTTAAATTTAAATGTATGGTTCGAATTCTTTATTCGAATTTAATTTTACCTGAAGACGACGTGCTTATTTACGTCGAAAGCGCTCGTAAATTAAAAATAATTTCAAGTATATTTAACGCCTCATAGACTGACGTTCTTGGAAGTTTTGATTGAGATAAAAGTATTTGAATCTTACTTCAGGCAAATGGTTTCTTAAATTTAATTGAATTAATTCAAATCTATTAACCATTGCAGTTTCTAACAGAGTATTTGAACCACATCCATCTGTGATTCAAATTCTCTAATCATTAAATAATTTAAAACAGTCTAATTATAAAAATTATTACATTTTGATTAATTTTGACACACAATTTCAATTTGGTACATTTAACTGATATAATAAATAACTTGCTATAATAAAATTGATAAATTATTTCTTAAAAATTAGCTAATATTGGAACTTTATAAAAACCAAATCAAATTATAAGTTTAGTGTATTAAAGAAAAAACTTAGACAAACAGTATTTTGATCTTCATGCCAAATTAGATACAATACTAGATGAGAATAGATGTATACACTGTCAGACAATATTAAAATCAGTCTGACAGTGTATACATCTAGTTGAAAAAAAACCTTGTTATAAGAAATCACTACTTTGTCTAACAACATTTATAATGAACAAAAATACAAAAAGAAACAAATTAACATCAATTGTCATTACTCATTAATCATTACTTTAAATCATTAAAAAAAAATTATAGAAATGATCAATTAAAATGAGGCCATATTGTAAAAACAATTACTAAAATTATTGAAATTTAAACAATAATGTACATGAAATTTTTAAAATATTGTTAATCAATACACAACAAAAAAATAGACGACTATTATAATCTAGCTAGAAAATAAACATTTAATTTGAAGAACATAAATGTATAATATTTCAATTATATTACATTATAGTAAATAAGGTGAAGTTTGTTACTGCTTGTTTGAAATAAGTTTATGGATTTTTTTGCTCTATGATAAACAAAAAAGGAAGTAATCTTTAATATTTTTAATTTATTGAAATTAACTATATTGTGCTTTCCATTTTGTATTTTTATTTGCCATTAAACTGCAGAAATGCTTTAAGTTATAAGTCTGAACAAATCTAATATTTCTTTAAATCTGTATAAATTAAAAAATACACAGACAGTAATAATTATTTCCAAATTTACTGATTCAAGTATATAAACATATTTATTTCTGGATCTAATAAATAGCTATTTTGATTGGGA